AAGGACAAAAATAAATGAAAATGAAATAACTTTTTTGTCATGATTTTTATGAAGTTTGAAGCCAAAAGGTTTTCCCTATTCTGATGCTATGGTTATTTAAATTCTTCTGAATTACCTTATTGTTTTCAGCTCACAAGAGCTACCCTGTTATATCATTCATGCTTACCTTAGTTTCATTGCGTGCACCAACCGTGTTATTATCCTATTTAAAATATTTATCATGATTGTTTGCTTTCCTTGCTTCTTGTTGTATTATTTGTCATCTAATTGCATTTTCTAGGAAAGGAAAAACAATGATTGTTTCTTCCAGTTAGTTGCTACATTCCTCACATGTATCATTCTGTATGGCAGGTTTACTTATGGGGCTGTCTGTTTATGGGAATAACCAGCTTTTTACTGTTTCTGGAGCACTCCCCTCCCCTTTACCATGCGTACTTTGCCATGACAATATTTCTCTGGACACAAATCTTCAATGAACATCAGTTTATAAAGGCACTATGGAGACACTTAAGTGGGAGGAAATTCAACTATGTCATTAAACTTCTGACCACTGGTGTGGTGTCAGTGTTCATTCTTGAGTTCCTGGTATGGTAGTAACGCATCCTGTTTTGTTCTTGTGATGATTATAAAATGATAGTTTAGCATTCTAAACAATTTTTTATGGTACCTTGTGCAGGTGCATAGCTTCACTGAGAGAAAACTCTACACTTGGTGCTTCCTAGTAGTGGGAGCCATTGCTTCTATCTATCTTTACAATTTAATTCCTTGGAGATCTGGAATTCCAGTTTTTGTTTGCCTTACTTGTTGGTTCTTGTCTCTATTTACTTTAATGCCAGCAGAAATTCCTGATAATAATAAGTTGGTGTGAGTTGCCTTCCTTCATCTTCCTGTATTGTAATTTTCTTTTTATTTAAAGAAATCTGGAATGGCTTGACAAAAGAAAATCTTCTGGAAGAGGTTAGTAAAACCCCGAGAGACCACGATTTCTCAATAATGTTTAGGAAGTAGATTGCTTCCAGAGAAACACATTCTAACTTCAATCATTCCTAGATCGTGTTTCTCTGATTGTGAGTGATTAGTCAGCAGAATAGCAGATTGCTTTAATGGAATAATGTTGCTGAATTGAAGTATGATCTTGTACTCGCTGTTTCCTGGCAAATGAATTTAATCAAATCTTTATGCCAAAATTTAAGATTTCTTAAAATTATTGCTAGTTCATAAACTTTAATTCTTTAGGAATGGTGGAAACTTAATGTATCAGGTCTCTTTGCTTAATTCGATTAACTATTACATTTGAATTGATTATGACTTATGCCTTGTGACAATCATGTCTGTAGAATTGCAAGTGGAGTGATAATTACCTTAATAGGATTCACTGCAAAGTGGCTGGACCTGCATGCTGATGGGAATAAATATTGGTTAGGTATCTGTACACATGACATGAAACAATCCAGGTTCCCTATGCTCTTTCACCTACAGGTAGGCGGCTGTCTCTCTACTTGCTTCTGAAATGAAGAGCATATATCTTGTTAACAGATTTATAATTAATTGCTTTTACTGCTTGAAAATCAGGCTCTTATGGTTGGGTTATCATCGGTGATGGTGTTCCTATCTACCTCTCACAGAACAGAGAAGCAAGAACTACATGCAATACACCAGCTGATGAACTGGTTCCTTGCTGGTATACTTTTGTAGTCTTCTCCTTTCCCCGTGTTTTCAGGCCCTTCTATAAAGCTATTGTGGGGCATTTGCCCTTTATAATGTACAAACAATGATATTTTTTTAATTAAATTGGAGACTTTCTGAAAATCATTTTCTTTCTGATGCTAATTTAATTTTATGTTGTTGAATTTGTATGTTCCCTATATTTTTGTCCTAAATATTTGTTTTTTGTAGGTTTCTCGATGGTCCTCCCATTGTTTTCAGATAATGGCCTCTTGTCTAGACTCAATTCTATATTTCTTGGCTTCGCACCAACATTCCTTCTACTCTCTATTGGGTATATCTCATTTTAAACTTCTGTCATTATGGTACTTAATTAACAGTATTCTGCAAATGGACAAATATGATGCATGTTATGATTTTCCCCCTTTTTTTGTTAAACCTGTGCAGATATGAAGCCGTCTTCTTTGGTGCACTTGCTCTTGTATTAATGGCATGGATACTGTTTGAAAACTTACTTCCTTACTTGAGTAAAGGAAAAACATCTTCTGCTTCTAGGAAGAATTTGAATGAACATATATTTCTTGAAAATGACGTTAGATATTTGCAACTGTCTGATGTGAGAATTCCATTAACCTTTGTGAGTCATCGTTTCTCTACCTGTTCTATTATTCTGCTCTTATATTTGCATCAGTTATGAATTTATTCTTCATGTATTTCTCCTCAGGACTTGCGACTGCTATATTCACTTGGACAAAATAGCTACGATAGAGAGTGTTATTCATTAGAAATTCTTATTTGAAGACTAATTTATCTTTATCTTTGGATGAAATCTATTTTCATGCAAGACCATTGAAAACTGAAGTACAAGCAAATAATGTTAATTGAACTGCTTTTCCCACGTCTTTTGTTGCACTCAGCCCCCCACCTCGCTCTCTCAACCAAGTTAAAAAAGAAAAGTCTGAAAGGAATATGAGTTGCTTAGTTTAGAGGATTTTACTGTTTGTAATTCACATGGCACTGATGGGCTGTCTTTGCTAGATGGTTTTATTTAACGTGGCCTTCTTTGGGACGGGAAATTTTGCAAGTATTGCTAGTTTCGAGATTTCATCTGTCTACAGGTTCATCACTGTCTTCAGTGTAAGTAATGTTTAAACCACAAAGATATCTTTACAGTTTATCCTTGGAAGCCCTGCTGAAACGATTTGCTTTTGATTGCAGCCCTTTCTGATGGCAGCCCTCCTTATCTTCAAGTTGTTCATACCCTTCATGCTTGTTATGTAAGTTTCTTGGTTTGCGAAAGTATCAAAATGATCAGTGATGCTTCAATGGCACCTTAAGGCTTCCATGACCATTCTTTTTTCTGCCACTAGTTTTAATACGTGCTTTGTTACTTTCTGTTCTCTCCATAGAATATTATTAAATTTGATCTCTCTCTCCTTTTTTTTTTTTGTGGAATCCCTAACTGTTGCACCCTAACTTAAGAAACTGTGGCTTCAGAACTCCTTCAAACACCAAAACCATACCTTATAAGTGAATCATCCTTTCATTCCAACTATTGGATGCTTTTCATAGTATATGCCAGAGCATAGTCAATAAAAACTATACCAACTTTTGGTTAGAAATTGAGGTTTTTGCAGTTGTAATATAGAAATTAACACCGACCATAAACATCCCTTTTCATAATTAAAGTTCTCAATATCTGAGAGATTATCTTGTATTTATCTCATGTGTTGTTTTACGTGGTTCTACTTGTTCTTTAATTGAGGCAACAAGGTTTGATTTTCGCTTCATTCAAAACACAGGTGTGCATTCAGTGCAATAACCAAACTACTGCAAGTTCAACGGTTGGGATGCTATTTCCTCGTTATTTTATTTTCAGACGTGATGACCATCCACTTCTTCTTCCTGGTATGACATTTTCTCAAAAATATATTTTGGCGCAGCCAATTTTCTTCATGGATATTTTAGCTCTTTTGAACCTTGCTTTTCACAAAAGTAAGCAAATTATGTGAAATCACCTCATAGGTTATAGTTATTTCCTGAGAGCCTCACCAATTTGCTATTCTAATTAACAGGTGAGGAACACAGGAAGCTGGATGGAAATCGGTAATAGCATCAGTCATTTTGGAATCGTGAGTGCACAAGTTGTGTTTGTGCTGCTACTTTTTGCCCTCACAAATATATACACAAAAGACATCCAAATTAGATCAGCTAACCCTGCTTCTCGAAAAGTAATGTGATTCACAAGAAACTAGATGCAATGCATTAGAATCAGGTACACGATTTCTTTGTGACGTGAGCACATAGATTCCGATTCTGAGGCTTTCAAGGACTTTGGAGCAGCCCTAATCTGAAACTTTTTTTGCTTCCCTTGTTAACAATGCTTCCTGTTAGCTTTTGTCTGTAAGAGATTTGGACATATGGGATTTTCCAAGTGCTTCCCATTCATTGATACAAATCATTTTGGATTTGTTAATTGAAGTTGGCTTGTGATTTGTGACGTAGTCGCCCTTGGCTTTTCCTTGTCCTTGCCAATCTGAAGCGTCTATAAATGTTATTTCATTGTGGCTTTTTTCTTTCTTCACCCTGTTGTAAAAGAAAAGTTTTAGGCATCCAATGCTTGCTTTCCAGCTGTGGAAAGAACATGGAATCTTCGAATATATAACGCAAATCGCTTATTTGGAATATGATGATATTTTTTCGATATGAAATGGAGGGACTTGAAGAGATACATGTGTCTGTTGACTGCTGGAGTACTTTGAAAATGTATGTGATATTTGAAAAGTATTTTAAAACTAAAGTAAATCCCTAACTTCTTTCTTAATTAGATTCTCAGAATTTTCCTGGGAGAAATTTCTTGGGAGAGTTGAGTCAACTCTTTTGTTTTTTGGGATACGCCCATACCAACATTGATGTACAAGACTTTATCAAAATTTCGATATCAAGCGTGTTTAAATTAAATTCGTATTATATAAAATATTAAAATTTATGTATTTATATTAGTTTTTATGTAAAAATTACATATTATAATTAATGTTAATATGATAATATAAAAAATATATTTTTTATTAAATTTATATATAATTATTAGTAAAATTTTAAATTAAATTTATATTTTAATTTCATATTATATTTGTGTAATGTTATGTATTGTGTTTTAGGCTTTCGTGTTTAATTTAGACTATGGTAGCATTAAGATAAATGACTTGGAAGTCTTTGCATTGCACTTGTGCTTCTAAAATTATATAATAATAATAAAAAAAAAAACTCTTTTTTAATTCCTCTCAATGTAGTTTGTATTCCAAACTTTCATATATACTTGTGACGGTAAGGAATTTACGTTCAAATTAACTTTTTCAATACTCCATGGTTGATTGATTGAACTAAATATTTATTCAAAAACATCTACTACATCCATCGATTCATGATAAGAAGCAAGGTTTTTTTAAGTTGAATATCAGACAATACCAAGTGTCATCATCATAGACCTGAAGACCAGATTAAACAGAACAGAAATTTCTGCATCTGAATCTGACCCTGGAAGAAAATCAAACAAAACAATGTTCAATTTCCTGGCATCTGCATTGATGGGGACAGTGTATTTTCCTCTCTTTTGAGTCTAGCATCCAGGAAACTGCTCAACTTCATTCAGGAAGTTGGTAAAGAAAAAGGCTAAGGAAAAGGGACGTCGGTTCATAGAATAATAGTATTGACTTGGTGGACTGATTCCTCCCCCTATAATAAAAAGTCTCCTGCTTTGCTCATGGCTAAGACTGTTATTTTTGTTATTCCCAGTCTTCCTATTTTCTAACCAAAGATCAAATCATAGCGGCCAAGATGAACCAATTGTATGTCAGAAAGTTTCATTCTTTTTTTGTTTTGATAACTATAATGGACTGCGTTTTTTCACTGTTAACCAAACTTATGTACTTTCTTTCTTTCTTTCTTTATTTTCTGTTCTCAATTACAGATTCAGCAGTGGCTCAGAGGTTGCAAATTTCATGGTCAGCTCTGGGTTGCTCAAACTTTCATGGGCGAAAATCTTGGATTGTTATAGAGGAGTCAACCTAAATGAGCCGCAAAGGGGTTTCTCATGGAAGGCTTATCAAGAAGCTAACATTAACATCATTGTTTTTATCAAATCTCCTATTTGTACCGAATCCCACCTTCAAGAACCAGAATTGGTTTCATCCACAGATCTGAAGAACAGTTTTCCTTTCTTTGAATTCTTGTGCAGCAATGGCCACTCCTTCTCTATTCATAAAGCAGCGATTACCCTTTTTGCTGCACAGATGACTGAGCTCTTGCAACTTAAAGCTCAGGTAGGTGCCTTTCTATTCCTTAATAATTTGCTCTATAACCTTTGTTAAGATTAGATAAACCCCGAGCCTTAGCTTAATTGGTTTATACAGACGCCCTTAAACATGGCATCTAGCAAATTTGCTGTTAGAATCCTTAGTACCAAAAAAATTGGATAACCCCAGTCTGGAGTTACTCCAAGTCTCCGACTGCAAACATCTAAGCAGTTATTTTTTCTCTAGTGGGAATATGTTAAAATATAGGAGGAAGTTCAATGAAAAGAAATCTTGCATTTTACACCCTGACTGCAAATTTGGTATGATCACTGACAATGAATGAATCTGTTACAGAGGAACTACATGTCTATAAATCAAGTTTTGCATCTATTTTAGGCTCTAATTATTTCTAGGTTAATTAATGAAGTATAACAACAAGGTATACTGATAATAATAATTATGTTATATCTTAATTTTTATGCAGTGTGACGGGAGTTCCAATCCCTTAATTGTAACTGGACACGGTTTAGGAGGATCTGTTGCCTCTCTCTTCACCTTATGGCTGCTAGAAAGCCTGGACGTTTCAACTGCTAAACGCCAACGCCCCCTCTGTGTCACTTTTGGTTCACCACTAGTCGGCGACAAAGGCTTTCAACAAGCCATATCCGAACATCTGGCACGGCATTCTTGTTTCCTTCATGTTGCTGCAAGCAAAGACATCGTTCCAAGACTCTTCATTACTCCCCATCCTCTTTACACCACGGGCTTGACTTCACAACCTGATTATTATACGCCTTTTGGTACATTTCTTTTGTGTTGTGAAATGGGATGTACTTGTTCTGAAAACCCTGAAGCGATTTCAAAACTACTGGTAGCAATGGGATTGGCACGTGCTGGGAATGAGGAACAGTTGATTGTTGATTATGGGAGGGTTGTTGAACAACTGGAGTCTTTGATAATCTGCAAAGGAATCTCACAGCTTAGTGACTTGATGCCAAATTCACTTAGGGCAGGGACAATCTTACAGTTAGAAGCAATTGGACTCCAAAAAGGACAGGTATATTAAATTTGTTTCCACATTATGGGAGTGGTATATCATTTTTTTTTATTCCCTTAGGATATGTGTAAGAAAAAATGAATTTTTTTGTTGTCATTTTGTTATTATGCTCATCAAACTTTTCGAAACCTCATTTCCGATCTGATGTCTTTATCTGAATTTTGTAGAATCAACAGCTACAAAACAATGACTTCGACAACTTAATCAAGAACTTGGAAAAGCTGGAAGAGAGTTGTATGTTAAGCAAGAGGAAGGCTTTTGACCCTGCCAAGAAATTAAATGTTATAAAAATATCAATGGCCTCACTAGAATGGTATAAGAAGGTTTCCAAGGCTAAAGAAATAGGTTACTATGATTGTTATAAGAACCGATTCTCTCGACCGGACAAGGACATTGACAGGCACAAGAAACTTCTCACTAACTACTGGAAAGATATTGTTGCACAAACAGAGAAAAACCCTCAGAAAGAACCGGTGTGCTTGCGTAAACGGTGGCTGCTTGCTGGGGCAACCTACAGAAGAATGATTGAGCCACTTGATATAGCTGATTACTACAAGACTGGCCAAAAGAACTATACAACTGTTGGCAGATCACATCATTACATCAAGTTGGAGAAGTGGCTGGAAGAAGCCGAAAAACAAAATGGCTTTTCTATTAGCAAGAAAAAAAATGTGGATGTTATTCTAACAGATGATTCTTGCTTTTGGGCACATGTGGAAGAGGCTCGGATATGGTGCAAATCACTGGATAATAATGCAGATGCTAGTATCAGAGAAAGAGAGTTACCAAGACAGAAACTAATGGAGTTTGAGCAGTATGCTATGGAACAAATCAAGAAGTCTGCAGTATCTTCAGAAATTTTCTTGAAAGGCAGCAGCTTTATGCAATGGTGGAAAGAGTATGAGAAGATTATCGAACCTGATCGCAATTCACCATTGATTGACTTCATGAAAACTTGTAAATATCACCAATATGCTAGCAGTGGGTGCTTGGTACTCAATTAAAATATAGATATAAGGTCTAGTCCGTGCTTAAACCTTAAAGATCAGGCTATACAATTTGTGTAGTCAAAGGTCTAGTGAACCTCTATATGAAACCAAAGTGAAAGCACCTTGTATTTTGCCAATAGTTGCGTGACCTGTTAGTATAATACTAGACTCTTAGTTATCATTATTAAGGTTTGAATCCTAACAGTCTCAAGTAAAAAAAAAATACAACACAGAACCTAAATGTATTGATTTTTCATCAATTATTATGCAAATGCCAAAATGCATTGCCATGAATAATATGCAATGAGATTGATCCTACTTCTTTGAAGCCAGTTCAGTGTAATGTTCTATGAAACACATCTTCTGGAATGAATTTGCCAAGCTGCATCTTCTCCTATAAGAAATCTTAATTTCTAATTGCTTATGGTTGGTTTCCTTCATTCCTATAATGTCACATTTATCATAGAATTAGTGTGATGTTTTGAGCTAAGATTTTCTTCTGTTGAATATCATAAGATAATCTGAATTATGGAACTGATAACAGATTCAGAAATTTAAAGGTATTCATGGGTCGGATCAGATTCGAGTTAAAATCATGCTTGATATTAATAATTTATATATTTGTTTAGATTTAATCTGACTCAAAATTTCGAGTCTTAAAATTTTTTTAAGTCTGACTCAAATTAAAATAATAAATCCTAAACCCACCCATTAAACTTAATTTAAATAATAAAAAATTTAAAATTTTTTTATTAAATTAAGTTTAATGAAATTTATTTAATTTACATATATATAAATTAAAAATAAAAATTATATATGTAAAAATTAAAAATAAAATTTATATAAGAATAAAAATTAAGTTTAATAAAATATATATTTTTTATTGTTTATTTATTATATAAATAAATTATATATATGTGAATTTGAGTCAGAGTGGAGTCGATCTTGAATTTTAGATTTTTTATTCAAAATCTAACTTAAATTTAAATAAATTTAAAATTATGTACAAACCCGATTAATAAATTTTTTTTTTATTTAAATCCTCTTTAAATTTGGACACGCTTTCGAATTTAAACAAATATCCCGACTCTTTGAACAGATCTATACACGATGAAGCCAAGTTCTAAAATTGAAGTCTAGTTCTAAAATAAACAATCTTTGATCCTTACTTCAATAAGCCAAGTTTCACATTCCAAAATGTCAAGAAGGAATGTAAGTTACTACTTCTTTTCACAACATAGCTTCTCTTCGTCCCTTGAAGGGTTCCTTTTTCACAATCCAGCAAGACTTTGTTAAAGTTGTGATATCCAACATCTATTAAATATTAAATTTTACATGATTTTTTATTTAAGGTAAATTTCATCATCTATTATTAATTGATTTTATGTTAAATATTTAACATAATACAAAAATCCAAGTTTTGTTTTATTGTTCTTGCTTGTTACTATGCTTTTTACATTTTTTTTAATTTATAGCATGATAAATTATTGTTTTAAATTAGATGTTTAATAGTATTTTTATTAACTTATCACGGACCTCTATTCTATAACATTTTTGTTGGTTTTGTATCCATCTAAATCTAATCTATGAATTTCAAAAAAGATTTTAGATTGAAAAGTCTTTAAACTTTGTTCAAAAAAATGATAAAAGTTGTTACACAATCCTTCAAATCAATCCATCTATTCATTACCTAAAACTTTTGAACAGCTAAATGTTAATCTTATCATCATTACTAGCTTTACCTGATGAGCATGCAAACAAAATCATTGGCAAGATCCAGCTGTGTTTGAATGCCAGAATGGGAATGAGCTGTTAAATGTAAACACAAATAAAAGATAATTTGTAATACGATACGATAATATGATATAAAAATAATATAAATAAAAATTTTAAAAAAATTATAAATAAAATTAAAAAATTATATTTTATATTTTTATATCAATATAAATTATAATATATAATTTTTATATAAAATATAATATAAGTAAAATATTTTATATGATACAATGAAATGAATTTTTTAGATACAAACCAATCTTGGAACCCAACCAGCTTTCAGTGGGACCTACAAGAACATGCAAATGAAACAGAAAGCACCTTCCCTCACTAGAAAAAAATGTTGCTTAATCTTTGCTTTCATGGTCAGGTTGACAATGGAATTTTTGGGATTTTGAACCTTATTTTTAAGTTTTCTCTCTTGGCATATGTTTCAATTTCTTGATGGCACAATTTGGCTTTGAATTAGTTCAAAAGGAAAAATGTACATTTGGTGATATTCAGAGACAGCTTTTCATGAAATAGACTAGTCATTTGAAGGAAATGGAAAATTGCAGAAACTTCAATTATTTCTGCAGTGTTCAACGTGGCCTGACCTTATTTCAACTTTGTATTTATCACAAGATCAGGAAGCAATCAGCGAAGAACAGGGAAGGACAGTACATTCTGAGCACCAACACTTGAAATTGAACTGATTATCAAACTTAACAAGTTGTTACTGTCAAGATTTCTGATAATTTTTTAAATACTGACAATTCGTTCATAGGTTTGAACTAATATCAAATTTAACTTTTGGATAGATATGAAAATAATATAAATAAAAAATATAAAAAATAATATAATTTAAAATTTTATAAAATTATAAATAAATTTAATAAAATAAAATATATTTATATTTTATATCAATATTATATATAATTTTTATATAAAATATAATAAAAATACATAAATTTTTAATATTTTATTCGATACAAATATACGACTTATCAAATCTAACATGATTTATCAAGCAATCCAACTCAACCTGTTAAAATTAAATATATTTAACTTATTATCTATTTGATCAAATTCAAACTAATTATGCTTCAATTTCTTGTAAGCTTTACATTTTTTTTGTCAAATTTGAGTTTAAATCGAATTTGAATTAATTTATTTCGTAAAATTCAAATTTATTTTTAAATATAATTAATAAGTTCAAATTTGACATCATCTGATTTTAATAAATAAAATTGAATTAAATTCGAATAATTTAATTTATTTTTTAATTAAAATTTTAATTATATGTCATGAAAGGGAAAAACTCGAGATTTATATATATATATATATATATATAATATATTTATGGAAGAAAAGGATGATGAACTCGTTAAGAACTGTTGACTTGGGGTAATAATAACAATAAATTGGAAACTTGACATTCGCCGCTAGTTTAAATATGGAAGAAAAGAAGCCGAAGAGGGTAAAATTCGGCGTTGAAACGATTTGCGGTTGCGGCTGGCCATGATTCTTCACGTGATCGACGAAAATGGGCGCCAAACACGCCGTTTCCTTAATGCACTTAAAAAAAAAAACCTATGTTATCTAAGTTTTAAATGTAACTTAATTTTTTAAATATTTTTGGTGAAGACCCAACTCAAATTAATTAAAAAAAAGTTTTAATCGGATTAATTTTTGTGATACTTTTTTAATAACTTTTTTAATTTTAGTATAAAAAGTCATAATAATATTAATTTTTAATAATAATTATATGAATTAATTAAATTTAATTTAATTTAAATTTTATATTAAATCAATTCATTAAGTAACATCTGCAATGATTAAAAGTCTATTTAAATCAGACAATAATTAGAAATAAAACCTTTACTTTTTAGACAATTTATAAAACAAATCTTTTTTTATGATAGGTTTCAAATTCACTCTTCTTTGTCAATACTAAAAATTTCAGCATTTCGTCGTCAAGATTTTTCATTTAAATTAAAAATTTTTTAAATGAGAATCGAATTCCATTCATGTGCTGATACAACACATTTTCGAATTCAACTTGTCAATGCTTCACATATTTTTAATTAAATTCGATAATTATATAATATAAATATTAAATTTTATATATTTATTTTATGTTATAATTTATATAGATATAAAAATATAAAAGATATTTATTTTATTTTATTAAATTTATATATAATTATTATTAAAAATTTAAATTATATATTTTATATTATATTTGAATTATATTATTATATTATATTTTAAATTATGAATAAATCATTTATGTCTTAATTTAGTTTTTTAAAAAAAAAAAACAGGAGTTTTGAGTTTAGGACAATGAACTTGAGCGAACTCGTACATAAACTTCTCTAGACAATAAAGTACTACGAAACGTGGCAATGGCAGCATCGTTACCTTCACTTTCAAACCGCATTTATCGTAGCATCACATATTATCAACGGCTGAGATTTCATCGCATGCATTAAATGAGGTGGACCCCTTCCCCGCAGGGCATATATCCGTGATTGGTGCACAACTTAGTAAAAACAGTAAAACAGTAAAGCAGTAAAAGTAACAGCATTTAAAATATCCTGTCTGATCTTTTCTAATCTACCTCAGTTTCCTTTTTCCACTACCTAGCGAGAAGCGAGAAGCGGCCAATAGCTTCTGTCTCTCGTTCTTCACTCTTCCTCAAAGCTCGAAATGGCGCCGTCAACACTACCACCATCTCCGCCGACGCTGATGGTTGTTCTCTTGTTGCTCTCCTCCACCGCATTGCTTTCTGAGTCAAGGTTAAGCTTAGATTACTACTCCAAAACCTGTCCAAGTTTCAACAAAATCATGCAAGAAACCATAACCAACAAGCAAATCACCAGTCCCACAACAGCCGCAGGAACCATCCGTCTTTTGTTCCATGACTGTCTCCCCAATGGATGTGACGGTTCCATTCTCATCTCCTCCACTGCATTCAACAAAGCTGAACGTGACGCCGACATCAACCTGTCTCTCCCTGGAGATCCCTTTGACCTCATTGTGCGTGCCAAGACAGCCCTGGAACTCTCCTGTCCTAACACCGTCTCTTGCGCTGACATCCTCGCTGTAGCCGCCCGTGACCTTGTGACTATGCTCGGTGGCCCTTACTATAATGTCTACCTGGGCCGTAAAGATTCAAGATTTTCTCAAGCTTCTTCAATAGAAGGGAAACTGCCTAAACCCAACATGGATATGTCACAAATTATCAATCTTTTTGCAGCAAGTGGCTTCAGTATTCAAGAAATGGTGGCATTAAGTGGAGCACACACAATTGGGTTTTCTCATTGCAAAGAGTTTAGCTCAAATATTGGCAATGATACCCATTACAATCCAAGGTTTGCTCAAGCATTGAAGCAAGCTTGTTCAGATTATCCAAAGAACCCGACTTTATCAGTTTTTAATGATATTATGACTCCCAACAAGTTTGACAACTTGTATTTTCAGAATTTACCAAAGGGTTTGGGGCTTTTGGAATCAGATCATGGATTGTATAATGATCCTAGAACAAAGCCTTTTGTGGAATTGTATGCAAAGGATCAGAACAAGTTCTTTCAAGATTTTGCTAGAGCCATGCAGAAGCTTAGTGTTTATGGGATCAAGACTGGGAGGAGAGGAGAGATTAGGCGCAGGTGTGATGCTGTTAACTGAGTTTTGAGCTGTTATTATTATCTGAGGTGGTGAATTTTGGTTTCTTTTCACTGAATTCTTTCTGGGGTTTTGAAGATCTTCTGAATATATGTATACTTGTCTTTGTTTGTATCAGTTGTTACATCATGCTTAAATTTATACATATTTATTTATTCTGTGTTCTGGGTTTCAAAGTTCCAACCCTATTTTCTTGTTCTTCACTGCTGGTGGTCCTGGATTTACCTGATTCTGTTTTGCTTGTGTCTATGATTAACAGAAAGAGCTGATCTTTAAGGTTTTGCATAGTTTAATTTAGGTGATTGTGATTCTGGAAAGATGGGGAGATGTTGATGAATTGAAAGAGGGAACATAATAAATTAACAATCATGAAACCAACTAGAAAGATGCCTTTTTGGGGTCTTGGAATTGATGATGGTGGATTGTTTTAAGTTTGATTTACTCTTGTCTCTTCTCTTAGTATTCTCCAAACCTGCTACCATGTGGGGTTATTAATATTTGAAATGCAGAGTTGAAATTTTTTCTATACTTTCCTGTATGTTCCGAGAATGCAGCTGTGGTTAGGTACTTGAGTTTGAAAACTATTTCGAGGATTGGAACTTGATTGAAATTTGAAACTACCAGCTATGCTTGAACTTGGCCATTAAACTGACCAATACATGTCTTCAAAGTCCGAGGTTCCAGTCATGAATTGAACCGCCTTATTACCATCCACCCCATGACCCCATTTATTTCAGAATGCTACAGCATCCACCATCCCTACTGCCTTAAGGAACACAATCACATTGCAAGGAGAACTGATGGTTTCAGACGTTACAATAGGTTTCTTCATTTTGTTTCAGACCTGCACTCATCCCGAGAGCTATTATCTAGCTATTTTTTATTTTGATTTAAAAAATTATAATTTTATCTCACAAAAAATATTTTATAAAAATAAATTTAAATTTTTATGTTTATATCATAATAAATTTTTAAAATATCTTAAAAATATCTCCACGTAATCGATGTGTTACATAGGAAAAACTCTGTTTACATGAAAATATTTTCAATGCTTGAACTGTTTCTTATCCAAGACTTGGACAAATTCTATTTCCAACCTGCTAAGGAGGTTGATTCGGAATGTATCATTTCTCTTCACTGCTACGAGGAACCCTTGGATTTTTGTTTGTATTGAAAGGATACCATACAGAAGATATTTAAGATGACAAATCAGCTACAGGGAAGACTTTTTGGCTAAACTGCAATGCATTAAACTACAGAAGAATAGACACATAACTAGATCCTGATAATTTTGCTCTTCTGTACTGCCTGATTTAATTGTCTATGCTCTGATAGAACTTGTAAAAGCAAATGGCCCTGCACCACAGCCAATTAATACAACCACTTACCAGACAACATTGTCCCCTGGAAAGGAAGAAAACTTACTGCTATTCTCTTTGATGCTAGTAGCTATTATAGACTTGCCGACGATATTTTTTATTTCATGTTCTTGATTTCGAAAGGCCAGAGTAAATAGTCATTACTCATTGTGCCTAAATGTCTAGGTTCAGACCATCTGTAGACATGCTTATCACCCCCACAACCTCAAATGACAGCCATATGTTTTCTTTTTATCTCCATTTCTGCTTGAAACAAGGAAATTACAGACTTAAATATCTCTGCTGCTGGTTGTTGTCGAAGTGACAGATTTATACTCCATTTTTAAGTTGGTTTACTTTTCTCAGTTGATGTATCTGTAAAATGCAATGACAGAATTTCATCCAGTTAGTTTAATGATATTACAGTCGGCTGTAATATTATCTTGAATTTGAACCAACGGTGATAAAAAAAGAGAAATTATTATATATATTATTAGTAAAATTTTTTAATTTCATAAATGAAATTAATAAGACGATATATATTTTTTAAAATATATTTAAATAAATTAAAAAAAAAAGTAAAATACATGATATCATATTAATCTGGCTTGTTTAAAAAATCTCACAATACATAAAATAATTTATCGTAAAAGAAAAACGTTATTGATATACCTAACTTTTGATCAAATTTTCACTTATTTATTTGATGTTACAAAGCTGGGGGTTGTGAATTGATAAGCAAAATAATGGTCCATGCAAATATTAAATTTCAGATGCTTGGCACACCGCCATGAATACACTTTTAGATGCATTATTCACCTTTTTGCCCGTGCTTAGATATCATTGATGCCAGAAAGCAACCAAAATTAAAGTAAAGGAGGCCAGGCCGATGCCCTTTTGTTTTATCTTTGTAGAAAAGGGAAACCAAAGCAATTTCTAAGAAATGGGTTTCCCTAATAACTTCACATTGGACCAAATTCAAATACGGGAGTGCTTACGTAATCATGAGCCAAGCCCTTTTTCTTAAAAGTGACGTGGCGTTTGCTAATTGGATAGTTTATGACCTGTTCAAATACAGAAAATAAGCCGACACCCTTATTTACGCTGGGGGTTTCCTGGAAAAGAATTCAACACGGAATTCATTTCAGGCAGGCTTGGCTTAGGCCACAAGACAAACATTATATATAAGAAGCCTCCTCCTCTGTCTTGTCTCCAAACATTCAAAATTCTGATAATCTTTGTCGACATCAACCATGGCCGGAGGAACAGAAGCTTTTCCTGATTTGGGAAAACACTGCCAACATTCAGATTGTCATCAATTAGATTTTCTTCCCTTTAAATGCGACGGTTGTCACAAGGTACTTATTGGCGTTCCTTTTTGGTAATTCATTCCATATGAATCAAATAGAATGTGCCGAACTTCCATATAATTTATATAAATGATGCCTGGAATTCAAATCTTAATACTAGCAAGTTCCATTTTTTATGGACGGCAATTTCTTTTGTAAGAAAAAAGAATGCATCAGAAATTCCATTTCATTAGGAAAAATGGGTTATATTTATTTTTGTCGAGAATGTGTTTTTCTAATGCTGGTATTGACCTTGTAATGAAAATTCTATGTAGGTGTTCTGTTTGGAGCATAGGTCATATAAGTCTCACAAGTGTCCGAAATCAGATCATAAGAGCAGGAAGGTAATTGTTTGTGAAACCTGTTTGACATCAATTGAGATTACAGGAAAAGAGGAGGAGGAGAAGATAATGTTAGAGAGGCATCACAAGTCTGGGAATTGTGATCCAACGAAGAAGAAGAAACCAACTTGTCCTGTTAGGAGGTGTAAAGAGACATTGACATTCTCTAATACAACCGTTTGCAAGACTTGTCAATTGAACGTTTGTCTGAAACACAGGTTTCCAGCTGATCATGCTTGCAAACCGGCTTCCACCGCACTAGCTGCAGCGGCTAAAGGAGGATGGAATGACAAGTTCTTGGCAGCATTGGCTTCAAGGAATGGGAAAGATTGTGCCCAGATAGACCGGCGGCCATCACCACCTACTCCTTCTGTAAAGGCCTACTAGGACTTGCATGGTTTTCCTTTTCCTTTTTTAATGTATAATTTTACTTGTTTGGTTTTAAAAGTACTAAAAACTTAGAACCATAAAACAAACTGAGCTAAACTCCAGATTTAAGTTTTTTTATTATTTAAGTAATCATCTTAGAAAGTGTACTTAAAAGTTCTAAGTTGCCTGCCAGGAGACTTGAAGACCGATAATTTTAACAGATATGCAGTCAATAATTTGAGTGATGATTCAAAATATATCACTCAAGTTTATTGCCAAAAGAATTTCAAAATTAATACAGCAAGTTTAGAACCGTGATTGCTATATAGAGTTGCAGCAAATTCAGTGTAGGCAGCAGATGAACAGGTTTCATGGAGGAGGTTAAAGAACACAGATACAATGAGTTAAACTACTGTAATTTCAAATAAAAGGGAAGGCAAGTAAAAGGATGGAAAACAAGCAAGGAATTTATCCCCTATTGACATACAAGCATACTTACAAATACAACTTCTGTTGGTTTTTCTTCTTTTTCTGTGGCCAAATACAAGTTATGACTGTTTAGAGAAGTAAAATTCAAAGTGTCAAGTGCTACATGTTTGCTGTTGTTTCCTTGATTTCTTCCGATGTGATGGACTGCACAGCAAGAAAAACAAATGCATGTTGCCAGAGAAGAAATCGCAAGAAAATATCGGCTATAAATATGATGCTTGTAAGTACTGAGAAGAAAAAATATAATAATCAAAGAATATACCTGATCCGTGCCAGCAAAATCATTATCTGGAGTGAGAAAGAGCATGCAGTGACATTCCTTCCTGCCAAATAGTTGTAGAAACCGAATAAGAGAACTTAGATTAAATTACTGAAATTAGCATACGAACTGTAGATTCACCCAAACTGAAAAATATCTGAGTGGTAATATCATTGTTCTCAAGATGCATTCAAGCAACCGGCTATTATACAACATAAGGCTACAACATAAGGCAACAACCTCCAACAAAGACATTTTTTAACTGTTATCCTTGATATTATGAACTGCAAACTTTAAACCCATACAATAACTTGCCTTGCTAGAAAAAGAACATACACTAGAACTCACCAAAGTAGTTCTTTATGTTTTCTTTTCAAAAGATTGTGTGCCCTTGGAAAAAGAGAAATGTAGCTTGAATTTTTAATTCCACAAGTAAGAATGCAAGAAACATCAGTAGTAAATGCTTATCACCCTTAGCCATGATATTAAAGATGAGACATAGGGAATCTCATCTTCTAAGGATAATATCAACTTTAACACAGATCTGCTATTCTTTGCAGCAATTTTTTTGCTTGATTATTCATGCAGTAGATGAGATTCAGAAGTATCCTTGCATGTTACTTTGATATTTAGAACAATTGTCCCCGTAAAGGCCTGATGGTAAATTCACCTTGAGTCATTAAAGATCATGGAAATCCTTCCCAAATTAATACCTTGAATACCACACCAATCTGCTTAAAGTGCTTCAAAATCAATCTCAATCATGAGATTAAAGTTGTGTTGTTAATTTCAAAATATAACTAGCTAGTTCATCAAGAAAGTGAGTTCCAGTTCAAAAGTTTCCACTAAGTCAATAATCAGTTAGTTGACAATGCAGCCATTATTTATAAGAGACATAAAAAGGTTTTAAACCATATAACATTGGCACTGGGCAGCTGGTTAGAAAGGCAGTTATTGTCTATGCCTTTCTATGATGAATCAAAAGATCTTTCTACTTCCCAAACAACTCTTGCAGTGAGACCAATTTTAATGAGGAATATACATTAAACTATGTTGTGACATTATATTTACCTCTCTCTCATAGGAACGCATGGACAATTCCAAAATCCCTGCCCTGCCTCAGCAGTTTTGTCATCATAATGCCTGTAATACATTGGATTTACACTTGAATGTTATTAAATCTGATATAGCCATAAATATCAAGATAAGTGAGTGTAAGAGGATAAATAATTCTGAACAAGATTGAGAGGTCATGGAGGAAATATTTACCTACAAGGGCAGAGTGGAGCACCCAATGTATCTTTATGCTCTGCCAATCCCTGTTCAAATATCCAAAAAGATCTTTTTATTCCCCCCTATTTTATTATTATTATTTTTTTGTATCAAATTTTGAACAGATGAGTCAACAAGATAGATTAAATAAGGAATCAGAACTAAGATAAGGTTTACACTCTTTTCAAGTAGGAGTTTTATAAGAAAGTTCAACATTCAGTTTCATATTCAGAAAACGTCCAATGCTCTCAGCTAAGGCAGCGATAGTTGGAGCGCTTTAGTATAGCAATATAGTTGTTCTTCAATCTATCTTGTTGTTTATGAATAAATAAGTTCTGATGTTTCCATCCATTGTTTGCACGCAAAGCACTTAAAATTTTTTAAATCAACTTCCCCAAAATAACAACTCAATTGGAATTGAGTCCAAGGGAAGATTTTCCTCATTAGTTTAACCTTAGAAGATGACATTCAATTCCTTCCAATTACAACCTACATTCTCCAACTCATAATAACTAATGCTACAGCTTGGAACGGTCTAGGATAAAATACTAAAGGATGGGACATTTTCTAAACAATGGCTACAACAAATTTTCTTTGCTCAAAGAAATATCTTGCAATTGAAAGAATCTGACATAGCTTCCATCATTAGCCATATTCACCTACATTTAATAAGGCTTTACATCAAGCTCTAAGACTAATATATGAAACTTTTAGAGCTGCCATATTAACAGAAATGGTAAAGGATGTATCCTCTGCAATTCAGCCCCTTGAACGGCTCACTTAGGTGGGATCAAAACTGGGTAATAACTCATGTGAAGATTTTTAGAAACGGAGATGCAAACTAAAATGAGAATATGCAGTTAAATCTGTAAAGAGAGGAATTTAAAGAGTACCTTGATTACAACAGAAGTCACTCCCTTATCCATACAGAAATATGTTCCTGACTTACGTGCATACTGTTCTGAGAATTTCCTCATTATTTCAACAGATTTCTCTGATGGTTCCACTGAAATAGAGAGCCAAAGAACAAAAAATAAAAAATCATAAAAAAAGAGAAACTTTAAGTCACTTAATCACATAACATCGAAACCCCATTAATTATATTAAATAGAAAACCAGAAATACAGCTTCAATTCACTAAAAAAAAAAATCAAATTCAAGCTTTATAAAAAAGGAAGAAACTTTGACTCACATAGTCAGCTAACATTCAAACCCCACCCCCAACCCCCCCCCCCCAAAAAAAAACCCAAAAACGCAACTCAAATACAGCAAATTCAACCTAAAAATGATGATCCAAATCTTGTTTTCATTAAAACAAGCAAAGTTATTACCTTTAGCTCTAATTACAAAGCGGTGACGGGAAGTTTTCGGAGGACAAAGAAGAGATGAAATGCCTCCAAAGTTACAGGAAGTTGCTTGAAGAGTCATGGCTTTACTTGGCTAACTTCAAAAGAAATTAAACTACCTCTCTTTTTTTAAGTAAGCTGTTTATCTATGTTTTTGTTGTTTCTTTTACAGTTTCAGATATTTTCATTGCTGTTTCGATTGAGTCATGGGATTATTTGATTTGGGTTTTTGGTTTTATTTATTGGTTTCCTTTTTTAATTTTTTTTAAGGGCTTTCCACCACTCGTTGTGAAAATATCAACCAACAAGGTGCACAAACCACTCAGTTTCACTTAGCCTGTTTCATTTTCCAGGATTTTTGGGCCTTGTTGTGCTATCCTTTGGTTTGGTTCACTCCTTGGATCGGATCAATGTCCATAGCCATTTTTCTTATCTCGTATTCGTAGTTGCTTAATTTAGAAAAACTATCTGTGATCAAATCTGACAAGATTAAGAAAGTTTGATATCTGTGTTAGCAACGTGGCATTTGTGGGAATGCAGTGAATGAAAATTTAAGTAAATCTAATTTGTTACCTGGAAACAAAAAAAGAATGACACTTAACCTCACATGTACTACAAGCTTTTATTTCAAGTGGGAACATAATGAAAATGCTGCTTCTCTGACCATATAACATCATTTCTAATATTTGTAGGCAATTTTGTTTGGGGATGACAAACAAATCCGAATTTATCGGTTTCAATTTGACTTTATTTTATGGGATTTTTTTTTAAATCGAATTTTAAATATTATATTAAATTAAAATTATTAAATTAACATAGGATGGGGTTGCCATCGCTAATTTTGTTTACTTCATTTCATTTTTAAGTTGTTGGACCTTCTGGCTCAACTCCACTTTACAATTGTGATAAAGGACTGTTTGGCATCAATAGTTGATGGATGCATGCTAAGAAGGGAAGAGTTTTTTATATAAAAAAGATGGTAGATATTGGAATTTGATCACTTGTAAAAAATGATTAGACAGAATCAATTAAATTAAATTTTGAGATTATAATTTAATCATTGAGATACTGCTAAAACTTTGGTCTTTTACATAGATTTGATCTAATTAGCTTCCTAGGTTTGCTGCCCTCCATACCAGAATGTTGAACATCAAAATCCAAGTAGTTCAAAAAGGAACAGACTGTGAACTCCTGAAGAGGGCTGGATTCTAAGGGATAATCTCTGGCATTGAAACACCATTCTCACCATGCTGAATTATGCCAGAATGATTCAGAGGCCTGCACCTCCCTCCCATTAGATTCCTCTTCTTGCAAAGTTCTTGTTTCTCAGATTTTCCTCCCATCAGCACTCTTGTTTTCTTCATCGACCAGGCAGCAGTCTTAAATCTCCGGCGGCTGGTCGGGGGTTTTGATTGAAACTGAGGCAAGTCATTGAATATCATTTTTAAAAATTGCAGTTTTGAGATACAAGGATAAATTATAAATATTAAAATTTAAACTATAAATTTATTGAATATTATTTTTAAAAACAATTATATAAATTATTTAAATTATATTTAGATTCTTCAATTATTCAAAAATATCATGTGTAATTAATAGACGATGATGATATACAGAGAACAAGATGTAGCAATATCTAAAAGTGAGGTTAAATGACAAACTAATCTAGTTAGTAGCAAGACAGGAACACAGACACTATAAAATAAAACAATAATCATACTTTATACTTTCATTTGGATTGCAGGCAAAAATATGGTTATCATAAGTTGAAAATGATATGAACATTTATATTGCAAGATAGAATTTAGTACACAACTGACGTAAGATTTATAACTCTTTTCTAAAATCACGACATCCTCTCTTATTAAACGAGAATTCTTGCAACACATTGCTAGTATCCTATAGCCGGCTTTGATACTAAATATCACAGTCCACACCTAACTGATATTATCTACTTTGATTCATTGAAACCTATGATTTTATCTCACAAAAAATACCTTACAAATTGAAGATGATATAAACACTTATATCTCAAAAACAACTATAGAACATAGTTAATATGGGATTCATTACTGTTACACATGACCTCTGCAGCTGGTGTCTCATGAGAAATAATGATTAACCACCAGATTAGAAAAGCTTTGGGGATCTGTAAGTTTTTGTACATTTACTTGATATATGATGTTTCGCAAATTAGGGCAGGAGTTGCTTGCAATATCTATTGGCTGAGAACCTTGAGCAATGATCATAATCAAACAACATTTGAAGTTGTGCCAATGATTAAGAATAACTAAGAAGTTGAACGAGGAAAACTTTTATTACAACAATTACATATTAGTACAATCTTAGACTTGATCTTTCAAAAATGCTACACAGGGCAGAAGGTAGACTTGTTAACTGAACAAGAATAACTGAATAACAGTGTCAACCATATTCATTGTTGGCTTCAAGGACAATGGGACATAAACAAGATCCCTGATGTTGTACATGCAGAGCATCAAGCGAGTCATCAACACGGCATTTAAAGTGACTAGTTTGAAAGCAGTGAGAACACACCGACCTATTTGAAGATTTAAGCTCGCAATCTTGTTCCTCGATGAAAACGAGTGGAGAATGCAGAGAGCAGTATCAAGACAACTTGACCTAGACAAGCATCCTTATGTCCAAGTTGGAAGAATGATGAATAATCTGCCTGTTCATGGTACTGATAGAACCACCTGCTAAAAGTTATTGCCTAACAAGATATCAATAACAGGCTGATTGTTAATCATCTGAGTTGAAGACCTTCTCCTACATGTTCAGTAGGTGTTCAAAATGAAGTCTGCATAATGAAAAATTAACTAATAAACAATAACAGCAATACTTTTTTAACCTTCAAAAATTCCAGCAAATCAGGTTGTCTCTTCCTCTGGCTGAAGTTGCAAGCCACATTCAAATCTGATTGCTGCAATAAGCTCAGTAGACACAGCAGGCCGATTCTGAACTGATGTATCATTTATATTCCTCTTATCACCATGGACTAGTTCATCACTGGCACCCCAACCTCTATACAGTATGACTTTGCTAGGTTCCTGAGAAACTAGAACTGCACCTGTTGCTTCCTGTGATTTTGATAAAGACAGTTTCTCTCGTTATAGATATTGCTTAGTTTCTGACAAGGGGTAAAAAGAACTTAGAATCTAAGAGTGCAGACCTGCAGCTTTAGCACCACCTCCTGCACAGAAGTCCCTTTAGCCCTTCCTTTCACATTCACTATAGCAAGAGGATGTTTCTGAAAGTGTGCCTTGATTGCTTTTGCCACACCAGTCACAATGTTGCTCCTCCCTAAATATAGAGCAAGCACCACTAAAATAAGTTCCCTTGATCACCATGAATAAGTGAGAGAAAGAGAGGGGATGGTAAGCATTTGCAGCCATGAGTTTGTTGACACACTATAGTGTAATATCTTTCGTACAGCAGAAACATCATAATTTCCTTAGCAAAAGGCATTCATGATCAGATAGAACTTTGAATGGCACTTCAATATGCATATAGTATAGTTGAAAATGCAGTAGGTTATGCAGATAAAAGTGAGCACCTTTAAAAGAAAACAAAACCCTAAAGCTAAAACTAAACACATGGAGCTCTAATGGCTGCAACTACTTGCCACTAAGTTCAAGCAATAAAAGTTCACAACATAATCAACTTCAGTTGATGAGGGAAATTGAAACAATAAAAGTCAGAGGTAATCACCAACTGCAAGCACAGGACGTTTCTTCATCTTGAGAGCTTGCTTTCGTAAAAGAAGTCTGTCTTTGTTCGAAAGAAACTTCACTGTTGAGGCCATCTTATTCGACACATTTTCAACCGCTGATGAAGTTGAAACATACAAATTATTGTTGACTGATTCAAGCATTGACTCCATTGGCCCATTATTGGAAACAAGTGGCTCAGCATTAGCAGTACCAGAACAGCCAATTTCTTCCTCCTTAAAACAATATATGCCATAACAGGTGAGAAATATCAGGAATTTAAGAATATTGACATATAAGGAACAGCATGTACCCTAATGTTATCAGGGTATGATGTGGAGTTAACCATTTCAACTTGAGCATGCAAAGCCCTCAGTTCAGTCTTATGTTTTCTTCTGTTCACAGATTCTGCCAAAGTCCCAGATTCTGCTTTATGAGTCTTAATCCCATCATGTATTGAAGATGGTTCCACAAGCTCTTGTTCAGAGGGCTGGCGAATACTTATTGCGGCAACCATTCTATCATTTTTCGTCAAAGTAGAATCAGATCCATCTTTGTCTCTAGCCTTCCATAATATCATCAAATGCAATTTCAGATGTTATATAAACTAAATGCATTTAAATTAAAAAACATAGTGGCAACACTTCCAAACGACATTAGTGCCCGGTATTCACTGTTAGGCTAAGCAAGGTGTTCATAAGCTACTGTATAGTTTAAAAACAAGGGAGTGACATAAACCTTGAAAAGCAAATTTAAAACAAAGCCTAACTCCTTTGGATTTTAACACATTTTAGAGTTAAAGTACCTACCTTTGCATGCCCTCCTGGAGATGCAGGAAATTCAATATCTGATCTAGCACATTCGACTGGCTGTATAGCTTCCATTTCCTCTTCCACCTTCATTGTGACAAAAACATGTCAATTACTTAGAAAACATAAATCCACTAATAAATAGGGAGCATGAGTAGCTCACCAATCGCAATCTTGATTGCTCAGCAGTTTGTATGCTACTTGCCTCCTTGTCTACAACCTGTGTCAAAGCAGTGTTATACAGTTCATATAAACTGATTGGATACTGTTAGGATATTTGTAGAAAAGTGAAAAACTGGACCAATGAAAAACATAAAGCGACTAGCTTACTAATTGGTGTTTCAATTCATTTATGTTTCTGGTAAGCTTCAAAATATGTAGTTTCAAAGACTGCAAAATCAACGTAGAAAAAGAATAAGAAACCAAAGCATGCAGGGAAATATTGAAAGGGCTGTATAAAGTCAAGCAAATCAAAACTTTGTGCCAGAGTTATAATTACAATCTGTTGAAGGTGCTTCCTTTCTTTTCCTTTTCCTCCAGAAGTCTTTTTTTTCCTGAGGCTGCAAACTATAGAAAAAGTGTAGGATGCATACACAACAAGATAACTCAACTTTACCTTATGACGCTGTTCCTCTAGAGAGCGCTTCATTGCCTCTCTTTTAGTAAGAAGTGTCTGAGGTCTCAGACAAGTAGGTCGCTTATAGTTCTTTCCACGATAAACGATGATTGCATAACCCTTGCTTACTCTCTCCACAGCCACTAATATTCCACCACTTTCTGCCTCTAATATTCGTGCCACTTGATGAACCTCTTCAACATTTGTCTCCTTAGAAATTATCTTCACAAGTTCCCTGTACTTCCAATGAAGATGCATATTCTCAACTGTTCCATCAAATACTCCCCGTCTACCTATGCACAAATGAGGAAAAAAAAAAAAAGCGCAAATCAGTATGGGCTTCTGCATGAGTTAGATAGAGTAATAGATGGGCATTATTTGTAAGTGTCCCTTCAAATTGCCTCCAGGATAAATAATTGGATCCACTATTTCAAGATCAAAGGCTTGCACTATAAGGTCTAACTCACCCAATAGGAGGAAAGGCTTCATTCTCAAGCCAACCTTCCTAAGCATATATCTTTCTTCTTGAGTTATACCCTCTTTATCAATTTCAGATTGTTGAGGGATCTCCACCTGTTCCAGCCCCGCTAGAAGTTTCTCTGCCTTTGCTTTCTTCTCTAATGCCTGTAGTGTAAGAAATGTCACACATATTAAATAAGATTTCACCAAGAAATAAGCCAAGGGCAGCATCTTAGCAAAATAGTACCATAGATAACTTTGAGCTAGTCTTTCTAATAGCTGCTTCAGCAGACTTCATGTTCTTTCGGTCACCAAAGATATTGCTTCTGTGATCCTTGGCACTATTAATTTCACTTTCAGAGCCACTTTTAGTACACTCACTGTCGACCCTCTGCACAGTTTTCCATGATTGGCTACATTTTGCACTCTGTTTCTCCACATGAATTACTTGCTTTCTCCGCTCTTCTATTGCAGAAGAAACAACAGAAGGCAGGAAATCTTTTCCTCTATATAAGACAATGAAGTCCTTATCTCGTGCAAGCAAAGTTCCTCCGGTCAGCCACTGAAACAAAGTACTTTTGATTAATATATGGCCATGAAGATAGATAATGCACTATAAATATTTCAACAATTAACCACAGCAAATAGGTTCAAAATATAATTTTTTTTTATACATCTTTTAGGTTAAATGTACTATACATAATGGGCTTAAGCAGACAAATGGGCAACCTCCATGATGTAGCCAAACAGTGACTAACAGTTAAGGTTTTACTGAAGACAAAACTCAGCATTTAATCTGATGTAAAATCTAATGTTTAGTTGAAATTTACATACGGTACATTGAAACCAACACTTCAAGCAATGGAGGTCTAAGGATTTAGTCATATAGAGAGGCATGAAAAATTTTTAAGAAGTGTCCAACCAGAAGAATATAGTAATCAAAGTCAAACCACTAATTGGCATATAGTAAAGTGGTCAATCTAAAACAGCTTGGACATCACCAGAAAGAAGAATAACCTAGAAATATTTATCATTATAGGAGTTTGACAAGCTTCCAGGCTTTCATTCGTATTGCTAGTCATGAGAACATAAGCCCTAGCCACATTTTCAGCTTAAATATTGACAAAATGATGCAAATCTGATTTGGACTCTCCATCAAACCAGTAGTGGAATGATATTTTGAAGAAGACAAAATATGAATATACAAAGGCAACATCACAAGTGCTTGAACTTCAATGAACATAAAGAGAATTTAAAAATGTTTTCTATCACTAGGGATGAACAATAATATATGTTTAATTACTCTTATACGTATCCCTTGCCATATATGAATTCAAAATTCAAGCATCCAAATGGAATAATGCATCTCAAGGGTGCTCCAAACCACCCACCATTCTCCACATGCAAACCACCCCCCCCCCCCCCCAAAAAAAAAAAAAGAAAGGTCAAAAGAGTATCACTAACCTTCAACTCTTCTGCCATCAATTCACTATTAGTGTTCTGCACTCCTCTCTTAACAGCAATTTTGGCAATCTCGCATTTTTCCCAGAGCTTGACAATGGATGCAGCCAATCCCTGAAGTTTTCTATTTCTTCCTGATATGAATCGACATAAAATTAAAATGGATGTACATCAAATTACCATAGGTATGAATTAGAAGTCAGGCTTACCTAATGCAAAATGACAAGGTAAGGGCCGGCCAAGTCTTCTTAAAGTGGTCATTTCATCATTTGTCAGGATTGGCTTCACACCATAAGGAAGAAGGCGGAAGGGTCTCCTGTATCCGGGAATAATTGCAGGTAGGAGATCACCATCCACTGGAAGAGGCTCATAACCCCACCAGTCAGTAAACCTTGGACCCAGTCCATCTAACAAGCGATCAGCTTCTTCAACAAGTTCTGCCTCACCTGGCAGCTGAAATCTTACTCTATTTGGAGAACCAACGCCTTGAATTAACATTGGTTTAGTCATTTTGTTGGGTGCATTTGGTGTTGAAATTTTTACACCATTGAATTCAGGTGAGCAACTTTCTGTTTTATGGCGTTCCTCATTATCCATGTTTGTATGTGGTGAAGCATTGGAAGAAGTGTCATGTGTTTCGATTTTATCAGCCAAGAAATAAGGATACTTGTAATTGGCCCCTCTATACAATATTATTTTACTTCCAGATCTCCAAACAACCAACCCTCCAGTTTTTCTCTGAGAATATCAATACAAAAACCCAACATTAGACTTCTATTATAGAATACTAAGGAATAATTACAAACTAAGGTTAATTTCCTGATGAGTTGATACTGTTATATTGAGGAGTTTGTGGATCAATTAACCCAATTTTAACCTCCTATATGTGTCCCATAATGTCTTCATGACATCGTTAACATGGTCTGGACAGGAAGTTAAACAGTAACATGATGTCATAGCTTTTGCATTGAGAGATTATCGAAACATAATCAATGATGGTAAAGTTTTTAACCTACCGCACTCATTACTTTTCTCTTTCAACCACTTCCTACCTCAATCATCCCAATATCTTCATCTGCCATACTTATATTAGTTAATCACAACTTCCATACACACTGTATGTTAACAAAAGAAACCAAGCAAATCATCCAACATCTAGGGGGAACACTTGAACTTTTAGACTTTGAAACTTTCAACTTGTAAGAATCCTGTTCGAATATTCAGAGATGGGATTTAAAGGATGGTAAAGGATTGTCTCCCATTTGGTAATGTAGGTCCAATCATATTTGCATTCATTCACATAACATAAAAACCTCAATGCAATCAAACAACAACTTCAAAAGCAAAGAAAACAACCAAATTAATGGACGAAAACCAAGAAAAAAAAGGTTAACAAACCTCCAAAACCTCATGAGTCCTCTTCATATTCATTTTACAAATATCCTCACAAACAATCCTAACCACCTCACTCCTTCTCCACCTTTCATGAATCCCATTCACAATTCCCTCTGTAATCCCCGCTTTCCCAACCTTCAACTTCCTTTTCTCACCAATTCCAACCGTCCTCAACCGTCTTAGCTCCTCCGCCGACAGCTTCAGCTCCGCCAAACTAGGAACCACTCTCTCCTCCTTCACCCTTCCCACTTTCTTCCTCTCCCTCTTCATGTCCCTGAACCGCACCATCAAGCTCCCCGGACCCGAACCAGGGTCCGGAACTGGGTTCTCCGGCGTAGTCCAGCTTGTATCAATGGTATGTCCAACCCGGTACTTGGGTAACTTCTCTGGTAAAGGGACAAAGATTTCTCCAGGGGAATCGCACCTGGACCCGGACCCAGGTTTGGATTCAGGTTCCGGGTTTTGGGTTTCAGAGAATCCAAGTGATCGGAGCTTGTCAGCAATACGTTGGATGGCTGATTGAGGAAGGGTTTGATTTTCGGAACGGGTTATGGAGCTCCGGATAAGGAAAATATCTTTGCGGGGTTTTTGGGTGGTTTTAGGGTATTGGGGTGTGAGTAAAGGAGGTGGAATCAGGGGTCTGGATGGGATAGAAAAAGAACGGTGATGGTGGCAAAGAGGATGTAACATTTTTTCATGGGTGAGAGGAAAAATACAGAGGAAAAACAGAGAGGAAAGGCAAAACCTCACAATTTTAAATTAGAAGTCCAGAAGTAAGGCAAAAGGCCCAACTCAAAGACGATATTTCCAACTTCATCCAAGAACAAATTGGGCTTTGTTTAAACATTAGAAACGGGATCGTTTTCCAGCGTCAGATCAAATGACAAGGAAGTTTCCAAGAATTGACATTTTTTTGAATCAAAAACCAAATAGAAAAGTCAAAGTACAAGAAATCAGACATCAAGCAACCCACAACAAACGGCTGTTTGACTCGAACATTGTTTTAGACTCTTATTTTCCCAGGAAAAGAAAACCCACATCAAAGATCTTAAAATTCTTGAAAAAGAAAAAAAAAAGGCAGAAAAACAATCTCAAATTCAAAGTATAAAAAAATTAGAGATGGGATTCTTCACCTACGCCGTTACCGGCGTTGGGTTCATCCTGATCGGCTTCTGGGAATCTATCAGTTCCTTAAACCCGACCCGAAACCTGAATCCAACTCCATCTTCTTCACTTTCAACCCAGAACAAATCTACCTCCATTCCAAAAACTAAAGAAAACCCATTTTCCTCTTCATCATCCTTCATCTTGGTATCAATCTTGTCCCTTTCGACCTTCTTGAATTCCGTGGTTTCAATCTTTGATGCTTTCAATTCAAAGGATCGGGTGGGGTCGATGCTCCAATTACAAGTACTCTCACTTGCCCTGCTTTTCTTGCTTTACTCTGCTTTAGGTCTTTTAAACAGTAAGAAAAGTTCATACTTTTGGCCTGATTCCGTTCTTGAATTAGTTCTGCTTTTCGCTTTTGTTGAAGAGTTTTTCTTATATTACTTGCAAACGAAGGATACAAGTGGGATTGAGAATAGATATTTTAGTCTTTTATGTGTTCCCATAGCCATTTGTGTGGTTTCTACAATGCTAGAGTTGAGGTCAAAAAGGTCGGCTTCCTCGAAATTGGTGCGAGGCATTGGGTTGATTTTACAAGGAACATGGTTTGTGCAAATGGGATTTTCATTTTACACTAATTTGATGGTTCATGGATGTAGTTTACATGAAAATAGCAGAGGGAATTATACTATTAAGTGCAAAGGTCACCCAGAGTATCATAGAGGGAGAGCTATCGCGACGTTGCAATTTAATTGCCATCTTGCTTTGCTTGTGGTTTTGGTTGTCGGGATGCTGTCAGTCATGGGGAAAAGAAATGGAGTTGGTGCTTCAGGGGATGGTTTACCATATAGACCATTAGGGGCAGAAATGCAGCAGATGGATAATAATGTGGGGAATTTCACTTTGGATTCTGATGATGATCTCGATGATGGGATTAACGAAGAAGATGGTTTGGGGAAAGAAGATGCAGCTATTGTGGAATTGGGTGTCAATGGTCATGGTTCACATGCGTGAGGTAAAATGTTTAGTGGTTCTTTTTGGTTGCTGGCTGAAAGCATTATAGTTTATTCTTTTGTGATGTTATTAGTGAGGAAGTGTATGATTGACTTTGCTTAAACAAATTGAGATCAGTTTGTGTGTTGCAATTTTGTTCAAGGAGATGTGAGTTCTTGTTCTATCTGATTCTTATTATTTATTGCAGTTTTCTAGTTTAAAACTATCGTTGACTGGTTGCCTGTATCAAAGTGTTTAACATAATTGTAAATTTGTAACTCCTTTTGCTTAAAATATGAGGAGGATAGTTGAACATTTGCTAATAACCAGTCACTTGAATATGAGTAACGATCATATGCAAATTTGAAAAGTAAAAATTTTTCTGGATTTGAACATAGATTTATTTTGCATGATTTGATGCATATGTATTACCTTCGTTGAAATTGAGAGGTTTCTTATATCAAATTGTTAGGGTAATTACTGGAAAATAGACAAAAGATCAAGATGTGTAGTGAAGAATCAGTTTTGCTTTTTTGTTTTTAAGAATATTTTAGAAGTCCAAAATTGTATTTAATATGTGAGAATAGATGTAAAAAATAATCACATTTTTGCATTTGCCAACTTTCATCCTGAAAATCATATGAAAATCCACTGCTGTGCCATGATTTGGTAACTCTTGTTTCTTTCTGTAATAGAGTACCTGGGATGACACTGCTGTTGTGCCAGGCCATATAATAAGGTGAAAGGCATCCCTTATCTGTTGAGAACAATCAGCACTTTGCTTAAGCAAGCAATATTAAAGTTACAGCCCTTTGTGAACCTGAACGTTTTCCTGCCCTTTGTATCATGATTTGACCACATTTTGGTTTTCTTCAGTCAACATAACTACAATTTCTTCCATTATGACATCCTAAAATTTTCCAGGAAACTGTTGCAGGAGCTTGGCTTTTCATGATAAAATGAAGGATTTTACATAAATGGTAGGATCGTAAAATTATCATCTTCATTTAGCTGGCTCACTGGCTTTGAGCCTGTTATCTCTGTTGAACTTTGATTCTACATGGCCGGTACCTGCATATGTTTAAATTCTTAAATGTTACCTATCTAGATACAAATTACAAGGTTATGCTGATCACTGCAAGTCCAGTGAGATATCTGATCTTGGTGAAATGATCAAGAGCTCATAATTACCTGTAGGTTGTCAAAATGTGCACCCCTTGGCTGTGGTTAGCGTCCAGGGGTGTGCGACTGGCAATCCTATACTTAGGATGCATATAGCAACAGTTCTGTATATGAATTATTTGTTGTGAGCCTTCATTAAGCGGAAGAATAGAGTTCAAGACGGCAGGACCTCTTATTCTACTGGCCTTTGAATGCTTAATCTCAATGCCAAGCTGTTTCCAACCATAAAGGCTATAAGAGTTAAAGACCTCATAGATGCCTCGTCGGCTTATTAAGATCTCTTGTGCTAGTAAAATGAGATGTTAAGATCTGTAATGATGCTTCAATAGTTTTTAGAAGTTTTACTTTATAACCTGAACTGTTTTGACCTGATCTTGCATCTTGGATGTGTATTTTTTCCAACTTCCAAGCAAGGTTTCCCCATGCTTCTTAATATCATGCTTCTCTTTACGTCGCATTCTTACTGCCATGCACATTTGTAGGCTACAACAGGCATCTTTATGTTGGTCTGTTTTTGCTAATATGTTGAACTTGTACAGTCTCTCTCTCGACCCACATGTTTGCCGATGTTTATGCCAAAAAGGGTTGCAGCTGGTTTTCATAAAACATGCAATTATAGTATGTGCAATGTAAAATTCTTTTGAGAAGGAAAAAATCCAGTGGGACTAATCTTTATGCCAAATATCAATACCGTAAATCTCTGAATGCATAGTTAACTGGTTTTCGTCAAGCCTGCGTCAGCTTGTGTAAACATGTTTCTTTTCTTCTTTTTTTTTTTTCTCTGATCCAAAATTTTGATGGAGTTGGAATGGTTATTGAAGTGATTGCTTGTAATGTTGGTGATTCATTGACAACTTTAGCTTGCACCATTGTTTTTCCAGGTTGTGAATTCACTGAATTGTATGGATTGGAACTCATCAACGACCTCATATCTACTTTTTCTAACCTGATATTTTTCTTGAGATCCTGCTAAATGTTTTTCACGATAGTCCATATGATTGTTTTTATTTAAAGTTGTTAGAATTTAAATTTTGCTCAAAAAAATTAAGAATTCAGCATTCTATCAACATATCACACCAGATTATATTCACATTTATTCACACCGGTAAGTCAAACTATCATACAATGAATTTGAATTCACTATCAGGTTATTAATCCTAGATTGGAAAGCCTACTATAAAATGTCAGGACAATTTCAAAGGAAAAGATAAATGGCAAAAAAATATGATCCAAGAAAAAAAAACAGAATTTGTTCTTCTGTTTTCTTATTTTCCTTGAGGAAGTGTAAATACTTCATTAGAAAAAATATTGGGTTACTTATTATTTATATTTTTTGTTACTATTATTTGTATTTTATTTCATATACATTAGGTTTAGCAATATCAAGTTTTTTTTTATTCTTCAATTAAATCAACTAAACAAAAAATATAAACATTATTTGATTATGGATACTGGAATGCAAAATTTTTTTATTTTTTTTAAAATTTCATAAAAATAGCTAATTAAAATTCGAGATGAGCTAGAAAGTTTCCAAAATTTTCTTGTTATAGCAAACTTGTAATTAGTACTCTTATGCATTCTTTAGGAGGAAAATGAAATGGATTTTCATGGCATCATAATTGCATTTTATGATTAAAATTTTAATAATTCTGTCATAAAACGACATCACAATTCAATGAAAATCTACGAAAGGTGGATCAATGAAATCTGTTCCAACCCCACAACCCCAATACTTTTTTTCTTGTTCAAATTGCTGAAATCAAAGATATCCGATGCCTTTGCTCGTCTCTCAAAAACTCCATGGATAGCAGACAATGCCGGACGTCCACTAGCTTTGCTATCGAAACCCATCTTAACAAACCACTCTCATAAATTCCCTTAAGAACAACAGTTTCCATCAGCAAAAACCAATAATTTATTAAGCATCCATTAAAACAGAAAGGGAAATTGTCATCTATAGAACCAGTTGGTGCCTCCATGCATTAATCACCATCTCGCAAGCATATGATAGGGTAGTCTTACATGCAGCTAGGAAAAATAAAACAGCACCACTCTGTACACTTACGAGCATTAGGTTCAATCACAAGTGCATATAACGGTTTTAAAATTACAATAATGTGCACGAATTATTTAATTCCATTTATTAAAAAGTTATTATGTGAAACTATATTTTTGTAAAAAAAAATCCTTTAAATCACAATCATGCATGCATGATACAGTGGATTTGAATATGTGTAGTAAATGTCTTTTGAATTAAAGACTCGATTTTAATACATTGATGTCAAAACGTAGCCTGATTCATGCATGCAGATTAGAGTTTTGTACAAACCATAAATATATTTGGGTTCTTCCTACTTTTTTTTTTTTTTTTTGGTTTGTAGAGGCATGCTGCCGAAGATGGGTGGTCCAATATTCTCAATTAAACTTCATAAAATTTTTGTTAAGAGTACTTTTTACTTTTAAACCGACTCGACATATATAATGTTACGTCAATTTGGTTACATTTTTATTTTATCTTATAAACTCTTTATTTTTCGTTTATAAATAAAATCATCCAGATATTATTAATTAAATCTCGTTCTATTCTTATATCTTTATTTTCTTTTCCTTTCGACCTGTCTAATCATGTTTTTTTACTTGAGTGTATGAGTGTAAACATAAAAAATATTTTCTGCCATTGTCCTAATCTTAATTATTCTCTTTTTTTTCTTGTGATTTCAGGATTTAAACTTTCAACTCAGAGTTTGGCACCAACATGCTTTTTAAATTGCTCATTAAACTTCATAAAGGCAGCGCCGAATTTGACACCAATGGTTTAATGAGCAATTAAACTTCATAAAGTTTTTTAATGAGCTATTATATCCATTTATAAAAACGTGAGGAGTGTACAAATTTTAATATAATAATAAATTTGTATTTTTTTTTAAAAATATGTAAATATGATATGATATATACATAAAGATTTAAATTTAAATTTTAAAAATGTTTTTTATGAGATAAAATTATAAGATTTTTGAATTAAAATGAATAATATTTTGAATACAAGTCTTCACAAATGATATAAGGACCCTAGATGTGGTGTCCCTGATATCATCCGGAACCGAACGTCTAATGGCACTATGGGAACTGTACATAGCCATAATTATGGCATATTTCACTTGGTTGCTGGCTATTCCTTTTTCCCAGGGTATCCCAAATGGACTAGATACCAACTCACCCATAATTTCCTACCTGGTGTCCAGTTGTTTGGTGTTCAAGAACTAAGTCCCATGATTGCTCGGGCATTCCAGAAATGGGCAGCTGTTTCTCCATTCAGGTTCCAGCAGGTAGCACAAGGCAGCAGAGACGATATCAGTATCGGGTTTTACCGATATGATCATGGGGATGGTTATCCTTTTGATGGCCCTCTTGGAAACGTAATAGCTCATGCTTTTGCACTAGAAGATGGGAGGTTTCACTATGATGCGGATGAGAATTGGAGCTTTAATCCTGCAGCTAACCAAATGGACCTGGAATCAGTAGCTGTGCATGAAATAGGACATAATCTCGGCCTTGATCATAGTTGGGATCAAAATGCCGTCATGTATCCAACAATTCAACTTGGAACTACTAAAACGAACCTTGGCCAAGAAGATATTAATGGTTTACGGGCTTTATACAGCTACTAGCAAGACTTTGCTTCATTGAAACCTATGCAAGTTTCATAATATCTTAAGCATATTAAATAAGTGATTTAGAACAGTTAAAAGACTAGAATAAGAGAGTGATATGTAAGCAAATATGGAGGCTTTAAGTTAGTTTCCATGCAAGGTATGCATAATTTCTGAAATAAAATTTGTGTCCTATATATTCTTCTAAGACAATTCATATATCTATATCTTTTTTTTTTCCGGTATCAAACACGTACCAAATTAAAAAATCATCATTTCTCAATTTATATGACACGTCAAATACAAAATCAGTCATATGAGACTAAGTACTTTGATTTCATAAAGTATAAGATCGATGGCTCAAACAAGTCTTTGGAATAAAAGATCGATGGCTCAAACAAGTCTTTGGAATAAATATTCTTCGTAAAGAGAAAAGACAGTCCAAAGTGTAGAATATCCATGTCATATGAGGCAAAACAAAACCAAATTAAATGTCATTAATATTTACATCAACAGAAATTATTGCAAGAAAACTGTATCAAACTGATCAAAATCGAAAGAGCTTATTTACAGTTGCCATTCTCCAATTCACTCCTACTTTTATAGCATTTGCACAGAATTGTATACAACAGTAAGCTCAATGCACTTGCCATGGCTAAAAGCCAGTAGTATTTGTCAAGTCCATCTTCCCTCATGTCATCAGAGAACCAGCTTTGTCTTCCTCCTGAACTTGTCAAGGCTTCAATAACTGAAATCATCAAGGCACTCGTGAAACTTCCCACCCCGAAAACACTAGTATATAGCGCGAACCCCATTGCTCTCATCCTGACAGGAACTTCATTGTAGAAGAACTCTTGCATCCCAACAACAGTGAAAATGTCTGAAATGCCTAGAAGAACATACTGAGGAAGCAACCAAAAGATGCTTAGTGGCACTGTTTCGGATTCTAGGGCACCTATGTTCCTGCTGATCTCAAGCCTCTTCATTTCAACAACTGCAGCTATGATCATAGCAATGATGGAAAGAAACATACCAACTCCCATCCTCTGCATTACGGTAATACCTTTTTTATTACGAGTAACCATCTGGGTGATTGGGATCAAAACTTTATCATAGAAAGGCATCAAGAGGATTATAGACAATGTAATAGCGCTTTGCAGTGTTGCTGGTGGGATCTTGAAGTTCCTGCCAATGTTCCTCTTCATTGTCATGCCTTGTTTAGTAAAAAATGTAGCAGGCTGTTGGAAAATTACTGCAAACATTAGAAGCATTGCCCACATTGGCAAAAGCCTGATTACTATTTTTGCATTTTCAAGCAGGTAAGTATCATTTTTCAGATTCCCATGCGAGCCCTCATTGCTGCTCAGCTTGCGATCACAAAGAGGTTTCTCTTGAAGCCTATAAACAAGTAAGAATTACCATCAGAATTCAAGCACATTTCAATTTTAAGCATCCTCAAAATCCAGCAAGAAAACTTACTCCAGCTCAACCACATCGGACTTATCATTTGGCAAGGTGATTCTTCCATTGATTAATTTTGATGCTGTCACTTTGATGACTTCTAGTATGTTCGGAAAGGGCTTACTATCGATGGTTCTATCTGGTTTATGTGCATAAATCTGGTTACCACATACGAAAAATGCAATTGACATAACCATTGCAAACATGGGGATGGCAAATCCTAGAACCCAACCAAAGGTATCTTGGATGTAGGACATAAGTATGACACCTAGGAGGCTGCCACTACAAACACCAAAATACCACCATTGGAAAAATAAACTCTTTTTCTTAGAGCTTTTGTCATCTTTGCTACAAGGCAATTCCTCATCATGGTCCAGTTGGTCAGCTCCAAAGGCTTGCAAAGATGGGTTATATGCACCTTGGCCTAATGAAATCAAACAGAGGGACCAAAACAGGAATGCAGAGGAGCTTGTGTTGCTTGGAGGAGTCCATGTCCATAGCAAAGCTGTTGATGCTACTGCTCCAAGGCCCTTAAATTATAAAAAATAATAAAAATTAAAAAAAAAAATCAGAATACTCAAATTTACGAGGAACCGATGTGATTTATCTGACAGAATTAGTGGTGATGACTCAGGGTCCAACATCTTTTGTGCTTAGTGGTGATCCCTTTGCCAAACATGCAAATATGATTCTGAAAATACACTATCCAAGGTTCTTGAAAATGCATTTTTCATGACATGCAAAACCTCAAATGAGAACAAGGAAGAGTGACTCACCAAAACGTAGAGGAAAGATGAGGTCAAAATGGTTGAATACCTATCCCAAAATGAGTCAGCGAGGGGTGCCACCAGCAGTGGCAACATTGAAGTGAATCCACACCAACTGTTAACTGTCTTGGCTGCAGAAGAATTGCTCATCTTCACAACATCTGTTAGATATGTAACCAAATTGGATGCCACCCCCTTGAAAGCAAACCTCTCCATGCCGGCAATCACTATCAAATAAAACAAAGAAATGCAAATCTTAATTTACTTAAATTTTGGTCATTCAAAAACAAAAAATGAAATTGTCATTGAGGGACTGTTGATTTAGAATGGAAGTTTCAAAATTTTGCTGATAATTGGGTACCCTGAAGCCCTGAAAAGAAACAGGTTTTTTCATACAGAAATGAATGGTAGCTAGCTCAAGTTGACAGAAAGCATAAAAAAAAAAAGATGATAGAATAGTTACCTATAAGAAGAATACATGACCTGCTAAGTCCTTGAGCTCTTCCTCCTCCAGCCATGTTAATGAGAAAACAATCTGCTGAGTGAAATGAGAATGGTTATGAGATTATAAGAGCAAAAGAAGTGACCCAAACAAACCCAATAGGCTGCTGTATCTAGTCAGAGGTCAGGGGCTGCTAACTTGAGTCAGATACTGCTGGTTTCACTCTAAATAATTTTCAGTCTTTTCTACAGGACACTAATTCTTCTTCATTAATTGCAGTCATGTAGTTGTAGGCTCCTCTTTTCCTTAAAGAAAGCTAGAAAAGACATTTATTTTTGTTGAGAATGGCACACTAACACAGTAGATAGTCACTAAAAGCAATCTCCCCCAACAGGATTGCTTGTGTTAATAAACAACAATCTGAAAACTGTTTAAAAAAAACCATTTCTTCACAAAAAATTGTTTGCGTTTCTAACTTTCTAATCTGTACGTTACGTTCAAAACTAATACTAAAAGATTACGCATCAAAAATACATAAAAGCAAAGTTCATCAAAAGTTGTGCATTTGCAACTGTTTAACTGAATCATCGTATTCATGACAAATCATAAAAAAATTTCCATAGCTGAAAAACACCGGCAATTTTTTTTTCTCAGATTGTATTTGTTGGAAAATTCATTACCTTAAATCCCAAGCATGAACAGAGGCACAAAACATTGAGTGCTAGCTGATAAGATTCTCCACCTGAAGCAGAAGCAAATCAGCCTATTTTCAAAAATCAAGCAGATATCAATAAAAAAAGATGACCAATCTGATCTTTTTTGGCAAGTTTTGCAGAGACCGATATGAATCACTTCACTTTGGAAAATTTCAGTGGTTTAATGAGATGGATATCACTTTGCTTTAGGGTACCATCACCACTTGGACCAAAAAAAACAAAGCAAATGGTCAATGAAAGTTATGGCAAAAACCCCATTAACCTCCCCCACTTTCTGCTACATGGCATACTCTTGGATTATTTGCAAATATTATGCTGCTGTAGTTTTTATCAGACATGATTTGGTTTTGTCATTTGGAAAGTGAGATATAGGATTCAGTCAGATAATGCTTTCAGTATCAGATATCTTTGGATTCAATCAGAACCCTGGAAACCAACACAACTGAATCTGAAGAATAGGCAATAACATAAAATAAACAAGAGTCCTGGTCATGTATGTTATTAGAGTATTTTACTTTGACTGAGTTTAATGCATTTAAGAGTTATAGTTCAAATATAATTTTAAAGGCTGAAGAGTTCTGATTCAATTTAAAATTTTTTTGTTCAGTTTAAAAATGATTAGTTTTAGATAATTGAAATTTCTCATGAACTCAAAATCCATTGAACAAGAATTACACAAACAAACTTATGTAATCGGTATAACTGAATTTACTTTGTTTTTTTGGATGGAGTCAAGATTAATTCACCAACAACCTCAAATTTAACTGTGACCAACAATTATCTTTTTTTTTTTTTTTTTGTCTCAATGTATTTGCTTTTGATATGAAATAATTCAAGGGTAAATAAGTTATTTGTTAAATTTTATATTTTTTTATAACAAAAAATTATATCAAAATAAAAGAGACCAAGGAAAAAAAACTGAGTTTCTTCAAAATAATCAAACTTAAAATTTGATTGCTTGATGAAACACATAATGAATTAAATTACTCTTTCTTTTATCAATAAAATTGTGAAAATCATTTTATTTTAAAATTTGAAACTAAAATTTATTGTTTGGCATAAATAGGAAAATCCTAATATCTCAACCATGGCATAGCAAATATACTTTATCTAATCTTATCCGCTGCAAAGCAAAGTTTAAAGTTGTTACTTTTAATGACAAAACACTCAAAAATTACGTATTATAATTTATGTCGACATAAAAATATAAAATATAATTTTTTTATTTTATTAAATTTATTTATGATTTTTTTAAAGTTTTAAACCGTATTATTTTTGTACTTTTTCTTCGTATCTTGTTATCATATCGTGTTGTAAATTGTTAGGTTATGTTTGATATCATTTTCAAAGATGATTTTATTACCAAAATGATATTATCATTTGTGATTTAAAGTTTTTTTTTTTTGTTAACAATTATTAATTCATAGAAGTTAAACATAACCGTGTTTAATACTATTAAAAATTAAATATTATTTTATTTAAAAGTATGAAAATAATCATGCATATTATAATAATTATACAAATTATAATTTTAATATTGTTTAAAAAAAATAATTTGGAATATATGATAATAATTATTTATTTTATAATAAACTATGATTAAATTCTTAAATTAATAAATATATTTATTTATTAGATAATTTAATTTTTATAATATAAATTGTGTATAAAAATATTTGTATTTGAAATTAAAATTAATCGATTAAAACCAAAATAAAAAAAGTTAAATATTTTATTATATATAAAACATTAAAAAATAAAATGCACAAATTATTTTTAAATTTGTTACGAACATTAATTCGAAAATAAAAAAATTATAATATAAAATAATACAATTTTAAGGAAAAATAAATTTTCAATTCACATGTTAAATAGGTGTTATTGATTATTATTAATTTTACATATCACTTTATTTTAATAATAAAAAATTTTTATTATTTTATATAAAAATTAAATTATATTTCACTATAGTAATCTGATACACTCGATGATTCAAAATCACTATCACATTAGATCACTAAATACTCACCAAACAAGATAATTTCATTTCCATGTATAAATCACTATGAATTTTTTAAGGATCACTTCGTACTAAAACATACAATATTATTTAATATTTTAAAACAATTAGACATCTCGCATTACATAACATAAAAATAAAATAGCTTACAATCTTTTCTCTTACATCAAGTTATTAAGTTACGATTTCTTTTATAAAAAAAAATCGGATTTCAAAAGTATTAGCTACATATATTGAACAAGAAAATTGTTTTACCAGGCTCAAATCTCATTCAACCAAAGCCAACCAAATTAGCTGGATTAAGAAGAAGCGATCAAAGAACAATACAAGAATCACATATGGGCCAAGGCAAACAAGACTGTTCTCACATAGATTATATAAACAATCATGGAAACTCAGTACTTAAATAATGAAAAAATGCGAATTCCATGTTTAATCTAATTTATTCATATAATTATATTAAAATAATGATATATAATAGATTTGATATTCAAATTTCAACGTTTACAACTAAAACTTCCTTTACAAAAGCAATATGGGAATTGTCTTACCATGTATTCAGCTTGGAAAATTCCCAAGAATATTGTCAGGAAATGTTAGGTTCTCCAGGATGTTATGAAACCAATCTGCCTCTCAGCCTTAATTTCTTCATTCAGTACCATGCAAAAGTTAAGTATTCATTATTGTGACTTGAAATTAAGGATATACATAGAGAAACCAAAGACATTCACTTAAAGATCAATCTTTTTGAGGCATCTAGCTGTTGCAGATAATGAGAGAGAAGAAACAGGTCTTGCTGGTTTGTTGAGCATGTTTAGGAAGATGAATTGATCCCTGTTGGAAACTTTCAAACTTCAATAAAATTTTGGTTACCCAAAAGAGTGGAAGTTCATTCCATGTGTATCATATTATAGAAGTTCCATGTTTTCTTGGGTGAATTGAAATTTGAAAAAGGACTTGTAATCTAATCATAGGGCTGATGGCAAGCATTGTATGTGTTAGAAGCAAAAATTGGCAAACCCCACAAGATTTCTAGACAAAAACTGTATATGTTTCTGATGTTTACTTTAGCCAATGCATTTGGATTTTCTTGCCTTGCCTAGTGAATGGTAATGATGGTTGTGTTGATGAAAATTGGGCCTTTGGTGAAGGATATAATTTCATTTTGTTTTAATGTTATGGATAATTAAAATATATATTTTAGCATCAACTAATTCAATTTATTCATATTTTTATCTTTAAAAAATAATATTCAATATCGATAGACCTCCTTTTTATCATATATATTATGCTCATTTGTGCATGAATAAGGATTGCCAAGCAAAAGTGATTTCATTTCACCCTTGTAATTGGCATCAAATCCAACAGGAGGATCTCTTCCAAAGATACATGAATCAGAATCTAAAATCTACACATAATAGGCTTTCAGAAAATTTCATAACCTTTTTATTTTGCCTCTGCAAAGAAGGCAATTCTTAAGTTAAAAAGCTATATCATTTTGTCCTTGAGTACTATATTGCAATCTTGAATTTTCCTTTCTTATCTTCACTAATTGATACCCTTAATCAATTTAGTTCCAATTTTGGGACTTTGATTGCTTTAAATACATAAAATAAAACTAGGAAAAATATCATTTAATTATATATTTTTTCCTTATCAATTAAAGTTTGATCTTTGTAAAAAAAATATTCGGAAGTAAAATTTTAAATGCACTATGATGTGATAAAAAGCATTTAGGATAGTTTAGAAAAAAAATTTCAAACATATCTTGACTGTATTAAAAAAAATAATAAGAAAATGTTGAAAATGTTGCTTTATTGTTCTTGTGTTGGCTGAGATTTATAGCCCAAAATTGATCAGGAGTCTTAGGTTTTAGCCCATCAATCATCCAACCCATGTCTCACCAAACTGCAAATGTGCTGTGATTCATCTTGGATGATGTTGAAGTTCTGGTAAGGAGGCAAATGTTCTGAACATCAGTACATAGATCGCCTAAGGCTGATTAGCTTTGCTTCACTGGCTGATGGAGACCACAATGCGAAGCTTGGAGTTAGTGTTACCATCCTTGGTACTTTTCCTACCTTCTAAATGTCTTGTATGGTTTGATATAATGTAATTTTAATGGCTAAAATCTACAATGAACATGAAGAAATGTTTGAGTTTTGGTTTGCATCTCTATTGCAGGACGAGATGAAGGTTCCACGAGGCTCTTCCCATGGCAGTCCTCAGGGGTGGATCCACATGTATTATTAAGGTACCCATGGATATCTTCAAAAATTGAAAAATTAAAAAAAAAAATTTGAGGAAAAATTTTCCTTTGCATATGGTAAGACCATTTCAAACTCTGTGATTTAAGATATTCAATTATCAAATTGTAGTTTAGAAAATTTCAAAGTCATAATGCAAAAACTTGACGAGATAATTTTTCTGATTGCTTTGATCCAAACTGGCTGCTGCTTTTATATATGCATTTAGTTTGATCCTTTTGGAACATGGAGCTGCTGTTTTCTTGACTGAAATAAGATGGCAATGGCAATTGCATCCAGGGGCTCGAAAAACTTTGCTTGCTTGTTTCTAAGTTGTGATCTTTAGAAGGTTTGAAAATCTATGGGTCCACAAATAACAAACACAGAACTTTGACAAACTCAGGTTTCTTGGGAACATGCCCTAACTGACTATGCTATTTGTTCACATACAAAAACATTCCTTGAAGAACAAATCAACATAGCATATTCCATCAACGGAATCAAGGAATCCCATTCCTCTAAAAGTTGAATCCAAGTACACACCAATTTCAGGTGATTAGAGGAAAAGAAACGAGGAAATGGACAAAATGCATTAAGTACCATTCTCAAAATAGCAAGCACGAAAAGCACTTTCTCTGCAACTTCCTATGCATTTGGAACTAACAGCACTAATGCTAGCACATGCTTGATTCTTAAACTTTCATTCATGAGAAAC